AGCTCCAAACGCAAGAGGGTGGACACGACCATGAATCCTGTCCATCGCCCTCCAGTTGTTTTTGATACCAATGTTGCGATCATACGACTGATCAGCCTCTCAAAAGCATCCTAAAAGTACCTCCCAGCCCACCCAGCTGGTCAAACACATTGGAACGGTTTGGGATGTCGGTACGACAATCTCCAGTATCTCCACTCCAATTATCGAGCAAAACCTCGAGGTTCGCGTTGCTTTTGATGATGCTGACCGATGATAAAACATTGACGGCGAATATGATGGGCCAATTATCCGTGACTCCGGTGGAAACCAATCAAAGGCAATTCTGTTGACTTTGGAAAAGCTTGAGAGGAATTCCAGAGTGGAACCAGAATTAGACACAACACGGCAAGTGTTTCGGAGCGACAGATGACGGAGACACTCGAGGATTCTTACGGAGGCAGGCGATACAGAGCACGTGGCGCAGCAGCATTAGTCAAATCCAGACTTGCTCCTCTGCCAAGCCGGAGAGACGGGGAACAAATCAGCCCGGGATGAGCGACACACATTTTCCTTTCCTGACAATCTCCAAGGTAAAAGTAGAATTCAATACGGTGTCAAAAGTTTTGGGGATCAAATACGAGGAATGGGGAATAGCTCCAGTTAGACAAGGGCCAACAGCATCGTCCTCAACAACATTCACTTCTACAGTTGAACCTTGACTTACAGTCACGTGGTAAAATGTATCATGTGATGTACGCTATCAAAAAGGAGTTTAAAAAAAAAAAGAAGAAACAAACGTGTTTGGAGAACTTCTTTTGAAAAGGGAAAACGGCAAAATAGTGACACAGAAGAACCTACGACGTTCCAAAGCCACAGTTTTTTTCATAGTTTGGTCGGGTTGGGGGGGCGACCTATACTCTGGAGCGACTTTTGTGTGAAATTGTTAACATATTATTATATCATTTCCCGTTATTTCCACATTGCACCGCAAGAGGGCGGTCTAGGCCTGTGTTGATAAATCGACGACAAGTTTGACGTAGAAGAGGAGGCGCCGCATCTTCGACCTGCGGTATTATGATATCGTTTCACGTTATTGCCACATTGCACCGCAAGAGGGCGCTCTAGGCCAACGACAAGTTTGACGTAGGCGACGTAGAAGAGGAGGCGCCGCATCTTCGACCTGCGGGGTTGACGGAGCTGTTTAAAAATGACCTCGAGGATGAAGATTTCATTGGATTTCGTGATTTAGAGTGACACGGATTTGGTAAATTGGTTAGCATGTTCTTTTTGCTCCCGTTCTCTGAATAACTCTTAATATGTTACGTGAGCATACCAGGCGCATTCTCAGTTCGTTATTTATGCATCACGAAACGTTAGCATATCCTACACTTATTCAGCACGCTGTTCTCTATTTTATTTTTTATTTTAAATTGCCTTTCAAGATGACATGTCTGTTCTTGGTGTTGTATTTTACCAAATAAAATTCCCCCAAAAATGCGACTTGTACTCCAGTGCGATTTAGATATGTTTTTCCTTCTTTTTTTATGCATTTTGTGGCTGGTACGATTTATATCCCGGAGGGATTAATAATCCGGAAAATACGGTATTTAAGGTTCAGGATTATTGCTATCTGATTTGAATTCGGAACTCACTCCACGTAAAATCTTGCGAGGCACAGTGCCTGCCATTCAAAAACAAGCCTTCAGAGTTTTCTAGGGGGGAAAAAAAAAAAAGACCCCAGAATGGGACCGGCTTGTTAAAGCGCAGGCATCCTACTCATTCCAACAGCAACATTCATGGTGAGTTTAACATTTCGACATTTATTTTCATTTGTTTCTATGATCCCTATGTAGGACTGGGATAGATGAACGGCATTTTGATTCATTTCAAAAAGGAAAATTGATTTCATCCATTCGTAAATTGAGTTACAATCTGGATCATGGAACGAATTAAAATGCCAAACCAAGGTACAAATGTAACACCGAACAAAATTCGACCTTCTGATTGCGTTTGATACATTTCATTTGCAATACTCGAGTATGTCTGGAACATTACCACTGTGCAATAATTCATGTGCTTGGAACACTGTGTAAAACTACAACTCAGACCACAGTTGTATTCTTTATCATGACTGCCTTACTATTTATCTTTTGTCATCAATATTCTCCACCGGAGAAGGAGCTGTTTTCAATCTCATTGCTATTTGTTTACTATTCTCGCTATAAATTGACACCTTCAGTGGTGCTGGAGCAAAGGGAGGTGTTTTGCTTTGGAGCCAAACAGCAGGTGGTCTCCCCTCCTGAAGCGGGCGACATCATGCCAAGGCCAGGTTACATCAAAATGGAGTCCACAACACTGTGGAGTGAGCGTGGCCTTGGCTTTAACTCCTTTCATGCACCAATAATGATAACCTGTAACCTGATAATATGATCAGCTATCCACTGTAGTAACTTCTGAAAGGGTTAAAGTCACTTCCCGGGATTTTGAAAGATGGCTCCTATTAGACACGTAGTTGGGGAAATATACATTAGCATCATGCTGACCAAAGCAACGAATTTCGTGCAAGTTAAAAAAAAAAAAAATCCAATGAAGGCATTACAACACCTTTGCATGCGAGCAAGTATGCATTTTGCACGGATGTCTGGTTATGACAAAACGAAATCCTTCGCGACCACAGAAGCACTTATATGAAGCGGATGTCCCAACCGGCGATTTATTGAGACACGCCATCTGACAGACACCATTGTCAGCCTCTTGTGGCATAAAAGTGTCCAAAAAAACGTGGAACTGGATGTGGTCGTAAGATGCAGTGAAGCGATCTAAGCCGGTCTGCTGCTTTGTTCCACTTACTAATCGAGCAAGTGCTCAAGTTGGCGACGTGTGTCGGCTTTGGGTGGGCGATGTATTCGTGGGAAGCGTAAAGTTGCGCAACGCAATCAAGTCAGGCTGGTACGAGTGCGTGCGCAG